CAGGGTAAGTTCACTGTACTTCTTAATTATAAACTCACGCCCTTAGTGTTAAAAACTCATGCCCTTAGGCTGGGTTCACACCTAGACGTATTGCAAAAGCGCGTCTGTCGCGCGACCGTTGCGTGTTTTTTTTACTGCGATTCGCGGTAAAAAAGTTGCGCGACCGTCGCACGATTCCGAAGGCTACTTGGCTGTATTCCAATGGAAAACGCCCTACAAAATGGCCCAAAGTAGTACCTGTACCTTTTCAGGCGTGGGACTTTTGTAGCGCGTTCGGGACGGCGGGAATACGGCAAGGTGGGAACGAGTCCATTGACTCCAATGCAATTTATATTTTTGAGCATTTTGTAGAGCGTTCTTCGAGCGTAGAACGCGCTACAAAACGTTCAGGTGTGAACGAGGGCTTAGTGTACTGTGTATTAGCTAAACGATGTATCGTTCCTTACTAGTAACAAGTGAATAATAGAAGTATATAAATATTATGAAACAATAACAAATACATTCATACACATTCTTCTTATATGAAATAAATCTCTTATGTATTTATGTGCAAATCGAAATGATCTATAAATATATTCAATGCATTTCCTATAAATTAATTACATAATCCACAATAATAAATACTTATAAAAAGTGAAAACGGTCAAAAAATGATGATTGTCAATAAAAGTCTATACTCAATATTCAAATGGCGTGGATACCCCTGAGGAAATACATTTTTGGACATACTGCGTAGGATAGAGTTCAGATGATGTCGCCATGAAAGCAGGCGACATAGCGGTAGTGAGCCGCATGGTAGACATTGTGGATGACATTTAGTTCATTTATAGGAAAGTCATTGCACAAGAATACATTTTAGATCATTTTGATTTGCATGAGAGATTTACATCATATGAAAAATGTGTATGAATGTATTGGTTATTGTCACATAGTATACTTATATTATTCACTTGTTGCTGGTAAGGAGCGCTACACTATTTAGATTATATTTGTATCTAGTGTCTGTGCACATTGGAAAGTGTCAGCAGTTTCAAAAGAGAACTATGGGGTAAGTGTTTTCCCCCATAGTTCTCTTTAGGGTCACAGGAGAACATATACTAATCTCCTCCCGTGACCCAAAGCTCAGTATATAGCGGGCTATTGCCTGCGATGTAATGAGACCACCGCAGCCGAGACAGATCCCGACAATGCTGTCGAGATCCACCCAGCTGTGTGAGTGACAGCTGGCTTTGCCTATCTAGAGGCAGAGCCAGCTGTGCCCACCCGCTCCCCTGTTTGTTCCTCCAGTCAGCGCTGGAGGATTGGAGAGGGGACGGGGGAGTCCCCGCGGGGAGAGGTGCAGTGGATCATTTGCTCTGACTCACTGCAGGGAGACGATCGGGAAGTGAGCAGATCGGTGCATGTTTCTGCTCACTTCCCGATCGATAGAGCCGACCTGTGACAGCTTCTTAGTCACAGGTCGGCTCTAACTATGAGGATGAGTGGAAATCACTCACCTCATGTCCTTTAAGTCACCATTCACTTAAACTCCATTTACGTTTGGATTCCACCATATACACAGTTTAGCGTAGACGGAGGAATCTGTTGCACTTTTTCCATTTGACCATAGAAACTCTGCAGATAATCTGTAGGTGTATGGCCAGCTTTACACTGGGATGCAATGACTTGTCTAGACTCATCCATGATGTAATTCGAACCATGTGATCTAAACATAATACATTTCTAATTAAAAAAAGAATAGCAATGGCTGTGGAAGTGAATATTTTTGCAGCAAGTCAACATTTTGTCCCTGAAGTTGATTTTTTTTGGAAGCAGAAAAAGTGGACAAGAGTAAGGATTTGAGCGACTTTTTCCAAGGGCCAAATTGGGATGTCTAGACGACTGGGTCAGAGCAACTCCAAAACTGCAGCTCTTGTTGGATTTTCCCAGCCTGCAGTGGTCAAGGGTATTTAATATAGCCGTGTGGTCATAATGTTATGGCTGATCAGTGTAGTTAGAAGAAGAAAATGGCTGCTAAAAAGATGGAACAAATGATTCCCTATGAATTAAGCTACACAAGTAGCAGTCAGTAACATCTTGTAACACGTTATCTGAGCATTATGCAATCGTCTTTATTACATTCTACTTTTGTAGCTTACTCCATATGGAAGACGTGTTATTCCCATACACATTTTTGTGGCAACACACAATGCATTCACATTTGTGAATTGTGCTGCAGTAAAAAGCAGCATCACGTAAGGACGAACCACCCTTAGAGGCTCGTTAAACAAAGCGAGGTCTTCGTTTGGTGAAGGAGGGAGGAGAGGGCTTACTTTGGGATGATAAAACACTTTTGTGAAACAACGGTCACAGAGTCTAATACCACTGCCTGCCACTGGAGGGTGACTCGCCCAAAGCTGGCTTGCTGAAGATACACATGACAGATACAAATCTTACATGCAATCTGGTGCACTGTAAGGGCTGTGCAGCAGCGAAGTGATTACCACACACTGCTGATAGAATCCTTGTGTTACCATTTTCCCATTGCTCACACACATGACTCATGGTAGTCTGCCACCACCTGCAGTTTGTTAGCTGACTGGTCTGCTAGGAAACCATATACACACAGATCCCTGTTTGGCAGATCTATTAACTTATACAACCTGACACTAGTCTGCATGCAATCGGCAGTAACACAATTCAATTTCATGCAGATTACCAGTGAGGTTACAACTGAGTGTACAGGCACTATTAACAATGACCAATCTCTCTGGGAGTATGAAGTCTTAGTTTAGTACACATAAGGCCAAGACAATCCAATGCATCAGTCATAGATATAGGAAACTGATTCCCTCTGATAGTGCATATTACGAGCTTTATGCCCTTATCACATTTAAGGGTTAGATTATTATTATTATTATTATTATACAGGATTTATATAGCGCCAACAGTTTGCGCAGCGCTTTACAATATAAGGAAAGCATCACCATTACAATACAATTCAAGACAAAATGGTAAGGAGGGCCCTGCCACTGATGGCTTACAATCTAAAGAGATCGCATACGGGTACCTAGATTGTGGCCTTCTGGCTGGCCTTCTGCATATTAAACTAAGAATTCATACTCCTAGAGATTGGTCATTGTTACCAGTGGCTGTATGCTTGGTTGTATCCTTATTCATTTTATAATAGGTTTAATATCCCTAGGTGGGCAATGCATAAGAAAATATGTACAAAAGTAAAAAGAAAGACATGATATACAAAAACTTTGATTATTGACTATAAAATAAAATAGGAGAAAAAACAGAAAACAAGACTGGCGTGAAAACGCTGGAAATCTGTAAACGCTTGTTCTGATGCCTGGAACAGGGGGAGGATTTCCGGTACCAGTAAATAAGCCTGATCACAACAAGTCCATCCACTGCATGGTGGCTGCAAGCAGACCCCAAATAGCCGTACTGTCACTTTCTAGGTGATTGGATACAACTTGCAATTTTATAGGGGCATGAAGCTCATAATATGGGAATCTGTTTCCCCTCTCTATGGCTGATACATTGGATTTTCTTAGATATGAACCATAATTCCTCTGATTTATGAAAAGGACAACCATTTCCCAAACAGAGCAGAGCCCACTGTATGGAGATCTCTTGTCTTCTGCTGTGGTGTGGCCAAGAAGTCTGCAGATGCCCACCCTTATCTGCTCAAGGCAATTTAGCGGTTGGGTGTGAATTAGGCCCAAGCTGCCTATTCAAATTCTACTGGTGGGCATCTGTCTCCATTATTCTACTGGTCAATGAATTATAAAATATCTGTTGATACGGATTCCCTCTATAAATTGATATCATAGGCAGGTTTGCAAATATGTGTTGAGTTAAAATTGAGAATGCATGATAACGCACATTTACTGTGTGTTTCATTTATATGCATTAAAAATTGTGAATAGAACAGAGTTTACATTACCCACAAAGTAATTCTACTCACTCAAATAGTAGGCAGAAGTGTGTTATATGAATGGGAATTAATATCCACACCACTCACTCGTGGTTTCACAGGAAAGTCCAGCAGGTGCCCACCAGCTGGGCACATATTTGCCTCGCTTGAAACACTCATACTCTGAAAAAAATCCATCCGCACAGCTCTGCTGGAAAACTTTATTCTAACTCACACAGCTTCACATAGTCCCGCCTAAGGTTTTCCCCTCTAACGCGTTTGGCCTAATCACAGGCTTAGTCATAGAGATGAGGGTGGATCAAGGCAAGGAAAGTGACATACTGTATAAACTGTATAAACTCTAATACACAGTTGCTCACAACAAGTTAATTATCATGTTAAAGAGGACATGATCAGCACAATGCAAACCCACAAATCATGTGTGTATATAATTAATAGACAACAATATAACATCTTATTGCTTATTTCATGTATTACTTGATTAAGACATATAAATAACGATAATTTGCTATAACTGCCGACTATTTCAGTGACATATTCCTAATAACTGACCATGGAAAATGTGTGTGTATATAAGGCACTCTCTAACCTAAAACCAACTACATTTAATAAACATTCAAATCCATACATTAGAGTCAATATTAGTTATTGACTAAAATCCACTAGATCGATATGTATAAACATGAAATATGTGAGGCTGTGCAAGTTACAATACAGCTTTTCCACAGAACTCAGTTGTGTGCTGCCAGATGTTTCCCAGCATGTAAGTATTAATGGGAATTAGTTGCGTGTGACTTTTGGGTGTGTCAATCAGATAATGTATGATTAGCTATTTTTATTAGCGTTGCTTCCAAATGAGAAACTCTAAAAGTGTACCTGTAATGTGAAAAATATATGGGCTGTTGTTACATGTCTCTTTCTGAAAATACTAGTTGCCAAGAATTGCAAACCAATGCTCCAGAACTGCAAACTGTACTGCTGCATACAGGGAATTAAGGAGTATTCGCTTTTTTTTTCCTAATGAGGTCTATGTCACTACTGTTCTCATTTTTAAATGTGCATACCATGTATTATTAACCCCTTCGTGACTGACGACGTACAGTGTACGTCGCCAGCATCGGGGCTGTTTAAACAGACTCCCGGCGACTTTTGCCGCCGGGAGTCTGTTTAAACTTGTAGAGCCGACTGTCGGCAAATTGCATCCAGATCACACAGCTATCACTTCAGGACAGCTAGACGTAATAATACATCCTCATCCTGAAGTGGTTGTAGCCATGATCTCGGTATTGTCTTTTTCAGCAGGAAATGCTTGTCAATAACAAGTGATTTGGGTGGCAATACAGCTGCTGATCACTCGTATCAGCATGCTAATATGGTGTCTTCCCCCGTCCTTGTTTTTTGGGGGCCCCCAATCCTCTGGGGGGGCCCGGGACTATGGTAAACAGTGTCAAGATGGAGAGCGGGAGCAGACCGAAGAACGTCCATTCTCCGGTGTGCTCTGTGATGAATGAAGCAGGAAGTGCTGTGTTCACAGAGCTTCCAGCTTCAGAGCCGTTAGAAGGTGGCTGAAGTGCCAGTTACACAGGCGATCAAGCACATTCCTGTGCTTCAACGTCTATATTGGGGGGCAGGGATATAACAGGGGTCCAATAGACCCCAGATTTCTCCATAAAGAGAACCTGTCCCCTCCAAACACCATCACATAGGGGATTCTTAGTCCCTTTATGATAGCAATAAACTTAAGTGAAAAAGTGTTAAAAAAGTAAAAAATAATAAAAGAAAAAAAAATTAAAACCAGCCCTGCTTTACCTGCCATCTGCATATGAATAAACACGAACATGTAGGGCATGCACATATATGTAAATTACTATTTTTGCCACACATATTGGGTATTGCCCTAAACGGAGTGAGAGCAAAAATTATAGGGCCATAATTCACTGTTACCGCTAAAACGATGAGCAGTAGAGGCATTTAAAGCACTGCCTGTGGACAATTTTGTGTACCATAGTTTTTCACCATAGAACGACACATGCAAATTTATTGCCAGACATGTTTGGTGTCTATTTACTCAATGTGACCCCATCTTTTATTCTTTTACAAAAAAAATGGGTATAATATTGTGTTTGTGTGCACTAAAAAGTGAGAGTTTTTTTCCATAAACATATTGATTTGATAAATATTTGCGCAAATATCATGCAACATGCAGCTATATTTTTTTTATTCCACAAAGCCTCTGCTTTTTAGCAAATATATACTTGTTTAGGGGTGTAAAGTAATTTTCTATACAAAAATTCAGATTTTAGTGTGCAAAAATTTTAAAATTGCTCAGGTAGTAAGGTGGTTAAGGAGACTGTAAATACCCCTGTTTTGTAATGTGCACCAGTGAACTGTACACGGGGGTATTGTACTGCATATGTATGTATCTATGTGCGCACTCACATCTCTAATGAGAAAAATAAAAAAAGTAGAAACTAAAAACAATCTCTAATCAATATTGGTAATTATTCTGTGCTGATTAGAAATTCAGATTTCTTGAAAGGTACTTAATCAGCAGTAATAAAACCATTTTTTTTGCAGAACAAATGTGCATCACGTGGCTCCCTCTGCTGGTGGTGTTGGGTTTGATTCTTCTGTACAGATGGTACAGGCAGAGTCACATACTGGAGAATCTCTCACATAAATATGTTTTTATCACTGGATGTGATTCTGGATTTGGGAACTTGCTGGCTAAGCAGTTGGACAAACGTGGAATGAAGGTCCTGGCTGCTTGTCTGACAAAGACCGGTGCTGAAAATCTGAAGAAGGAGACTTCCAGCAGACTGCAAACAAGAATCCTGGATCTCACTGACAGCAAAAGTGTGAGCTCTGCTGCCGAGTGGGTATCAATCATCGTTGGAAATGAAGGTAATGTTTTACCACATTTGTAACTGGCGTTATTGTTCTTTTTCTTATTGTATAAAATGCCTTAAAGCCTTCAATTGGCACAGTTTACTTTTTTTTGTACAAAAATGCAATGCAATGTTGTAACTATCACCGTGTCCTTAAGCAGAAGCCTGCTCAGTCCAGGTACTGACAAGATGCCCCGCCTCCTGCAGAGCCCGCACTGTACTGAGAGCTGCGCATTCTTTGTGACAGTCTCTGCATGAGTCAGTGTGAGGTAGCCTCCGTGCCGCTTCAATGAAGGCCCAGCCTGCACGGCATCAAAGGGGCTCGGGGACCACCAAAATATTCTCGCAGACCACTGGTGGAGGGAGGGAGCGGTGCCGCCCACCCCGGCCCGGCTCAGTAATAATATTAATTGTTTCCCCCCCCTACCAAATCTGCCACTGGCCCTGGCGGCGGCGCCCGGGGGGGCATGCCCCCCCTAGCTTCAGCACTGCCCCCAACCACCCACGTGCCTCCCCTTCCCCCACACTGAGCCACTATTACATGACTTCTCCCCACTTTTTCTAGGTCCCGCAGCCTGCTCAGTCCAGGTACTGACAAGATGCCCCGCCTCCTGCAGAGCCCGCACTGTACTGAAAGCTGCGCATTCTTTGTGACAGTCTCTGCTTGAGTCAGTGTGAGGTAGCCTCCGTGCCGCTTCAATGAAGGCCCAGCCTGCATGGCATCAAAGGGGCCCGGGGACCACCAAAATATTCTCGCGGACCACCAGTGGTCCTCGGACCACTGGTTGGCGACCGCTGTCCTTAAGCACATTTTTGCCCTCAACCTGCCAGGCTATTAGTGGCCTTTTCTCTGGAACCCAGTGATTTGTATTAGTGGACAGCATGACTGACCCTATAATGAGGCAGCCTGCCAGCACATATACCCTGGACGACAAGTGAATATACCCTGTCTGCAACCTCCCCCCCCTTTACCATATTAACTCTAATATAAGCCCTCATGAACATTGGTGGACAGAAAATAACATATAATCCTTTTGTAAATTGTGTGATAATAGATGAATGTTGTTCATGTTGTATGTGTGTGTATAGGTATATGCTCATTTTATTAATTTATAAATTTCAGTGCTGTCTTTTCTTTTTTTTTACTCTGACGGCGGCCGGCGACTCAGATATCCTCAGAGAATTAAAAAAAAACAGACAACAGGGAAAGGTTTACTCTGCTAGATTGAGCAGAGTAAACCATTCCGGGAGAAAAAATGTATCTCCCGGGCGGCCAGGAGCCGCTATGTAATAGCGGGAGACTCCCGGAACGTCCGGGAGAGTTGGGATGTCTGTTACCTTATGTATATAGTTGGATTGGAGTTAAAGATGTGTTTCTGGAGTGAGACGAGATAGTAAAGGACCATGTGTATACTGTATCTTTGGAGGATCCTTAACCAGTTGACATCCGCGGTGTTAAACCCCCTTCCCATCCAGGCCATTTTTCAGTATTCAGCGCTGCGGTACTTTGACTGACATTTATTCCGTCATGCAGCGCTGTACTGAAATGAATTTTATACCCTTTTTTGGGGACAGATAGAGCTTTCTTTTGGTGGTATTTATTCACCACTGGGGTTTTTATTTTTTTAAGCACTGTGCCCTTCAGCATGCACTGACCCTGCTCTGTCATTTTACGAGGCCTACCACTTCATGGCTGCTGTTGTTCACAGTTGCTTCCACTTTGTTATAATATCACTAACAGTTGACCGTTAAATATTTAGTAGCAAGGAAATTTCATGGAACACCTGAATCCAATGATTTGGAGGGGTATCCCAATACTTTTGGTAATATAGTGTATATATACAGTATATGTTTTTATGTATACAAGATCTATTAGGCTAGAAGTAATCACTCTAAATGTGTAAATAAGAGCAAATAAAAACACATCCTAACACGCACAGAAGCTGTTTTACCTGCAAATGGATTTGTATTTCTGTCCATCCAGTTCTGAGATTTACATAGCCATGCCAGTCAGTATAGCCAGGCTAGTGACATGACTTTTCTCTACTGAATAGAGAGTACGCTACTGCCCATTATAGTCAAAGTGACAGTATCTTTGTAAAGGGCCACCACCGACCCCGATACTAACCTTGCCAACCCTCCCTTGATGCCCCTTCCACTGCCTTAGATGGCAAAAATACCGGCTGTTTCTAGATATGGGGGAGTATGTGGCATCCTTTCATGTGACAGTGCTTGGATTTAGCAGGGAGTTGCTAGATCCAAGCACATGATAGAGGGGGTGATGTCACCTATCCCCATAGCCTCCAACACCAGCCAACAGTGATGAAAAAAGGAGCAGCACGGAGAAACTAGCAAGGTTTGTTTTAGCAGGTCAAGGGTGGGGGGTTATTACAAAGACATTGTCATTTTCCCTGCACATGCAAGGTAGAAGTGTCTCTTTATGCAACTCAGCTAGGTCACTTCCTTGCCCCCAACCTGTCAACAGTGAAGGATTAGCAGCAGACTGATATAGGCATCTCTATTCCCTCTCCTCCTGTCAGCATTTGCCTTGGCTCAGCCCACCTATTTTGTCCCAACTGCTGTCCCAGCCTCCCCCATTCTAAATGCAACCCTAAAGGGGATTATAAGGAGCTGAATTATATTTGAATGTAGGTACTTTTGTTTCTTTTTTTTTTTTTTAATACATACATAACTGAATTCATTGGGGGTTCTGGAAGCTGGCCCAGGAATAATTTGCATGGCAGTACACACCATCCTGAAATGAGGACTAGACCCCATATTTCTGGGATTTGTGATGGAAGTGAGATATGGACACCTTCTGTGTTAAAAAGGATTTACTGCGTTTGATATAGATTTATTATGAATGCATTTTCCTGATTTCAGTAATCATAGTTCTTTTTCTCATGCATTACAGGGCTTTGGGGATTGGTAAACAATGCTGGCTATGCTGTTGGTTTTGCTCCTAATGAGTGGCAAACAAAAGAAGACTTCTCCAAGGTCCTGAATGTGAATCTACTTGGTACAATCGATGTCACCTTGAACTTGCTGCATCTGGTCAGAAAAGCCCGGGGACGCATTGTATATGTATCTAGTGTTGCTGGGAGATTGGCTGTTTTAGGTGGGGGATATTGCCCTTCAAAGTATGGTGTGGAAGCTTTCGCAGACAGTTTAAGGTGAGTTACCATAATTAACTGTAGTAAATAGTTTGTATCATAAAGGTTTTGAAATGCAGCAAGCAAAAGTAGAAACCAGAGATCCAGTCTGTGTGGTGGAGAATATGGTGGCTTGCTAACTTGACAAGATCCAAAGGCAGTTTCCAGATTATCCTACGACCTTGTCATTTTAGGGCAAAGTCAAAGAGTCTCTGTAAAGCCCACCCCTGACCTACTTGTACTTATCTACTTATTACCCCAATGCTCTGGGGAATATATGTTTCCCTCTCATCTTGCAGTGCTCAGGCATAGTAGACATTTGCTGGACCTGTACACTGTCATGACAGGAGGTGATGTTTTTGCACCTTTTAAGCCCTGACGCTCTGCATATTTTGCAGCAGGTGCAATGGAGGAAGGAGCAGTTGGGGAGCATTGTGAAGGTAAGTATATATGGGGGGGGGGTTTAAAAATACTTGGTTGCTATACAATAAATGAGCAAAAAGATGCCTCAACAAGAAGACACAGAACTATAACACAATGTGGTTTAATCTAGCTTTTATGGATACAGAAGATAGGGTATCAGTTTCTTGCAGATGTAGCGCTACTGGTAATCACAGAGACATAACTTAAAGGGAAATGGTACTTTAGCTACTTAATAGCTACATTAATGAATGCTCAAAGTCCATTTACCTACAGTAACATCCCAGAGGCATCCACCTCAGGCGTAGTTTATTTTCTCTGGTTGGTCAGAATGATGGGCACCAGTAACTTTAGTAAAATTAAAAAATAAATGGCTTTATTGCACAGGGAAAATTGGGAAGGAGGGTGAGGTTCGAATCAGGATATCCCACAATACACTGGATCTCATTCTCTGAACTAGGCATCAGTCTCTTTTAGATCTCACACTAAAGTCTCTGGATGTCATCCTTCTAATAACAGACTGTGCTGTTTGGTTTCTATCAGAGCTCAGGCTCCTTGGTGATTGAGGTTCTAGTGGTATCTAAATATTTATTTCCAAATTAGGCAAACATACGAAAGTTCATGTGTATAACTTCCCACTCACCCATCACTCACCACATCTCTATATGTAATAGGACAGATGCAGCTTGTTTCCTCTAGGCTATATACTTGTTTCCTCCACCTGTCATCAGCTTCAGGGGCTCCTCCGAGGAGGGGAGATCCCTACATCTTTCCATGTGCCTAGGAGAGACTCATTAAGCTGACATCCTCACAGGTCAGAAATCCAGGAGGAAAGAGATGGAGCAGGAAGTGGCTCAGATATTTATTAGTTCTCCCAGCAGGTTTCAGCAGGTTTGTCAGTCCTGCTGATTGGCAAGGCTATCAGATATCCATAACACAGGGTCTATCTCTCTAGCACAAGCAAGCTCAAACAGCTCAAGCAACATGTGGCAGAGAAAGCACACTCTGAGCTTAGAAAAAAAACACTTTGTTGAGGTACAGTTAGGTTGGTTACAGCCCACTGCTGACTACAGAATCACAAAAATACAAAAAGGAACTTAGCAAAAATACTACATCCCCTAGTGATTGGAAATATGTAATCTAACTAACATGGTGGGCATGGAAGTCACAAAGCTAGGACTGAAATATCCAATATTAAAACAGAGTCACATGAGTCATTCACTAGGCAGGGTCAACATAAACATTCTGTTATCAACAGTGCTGCTGCTAATTGCACACTATTTACTAGGGATGCACTGATTTTTGGTATCGAGAACGAGTACCGATATTTTGCTTTCGGTACTTGCCGATACAGGTGCTTCCGGTGACATGGAGCTGGCTTCCCGGCCAATCAGGAAGCCGGGCGGCGAGTAATGACCCGCCTCCCGTCTTTCGGGTAGCTGGCTCCATGCTGATTGGCTGGAAAGCCGGCTTCCCAGCCAATCAGCATTGAGCCGGCTGTTCGGCCAGTTCGATGCTGATTGGCCCGGGAAGCCAGGCGGCGAGGAATGACCCACCTCCCTGCTTCCTGATTGGCCGGGAAGCTGGCTGCATGCTGATTGGCTGGAAAGCCAGCTTCCCAGCCAATTAGCATTGAGCCGGTTGTTTGGCCACAAGCCGGCTTCCCAACCAATCAGGAAGCTAGGAGGCGGGTCATTACTCGCCACCTGGTTTTCTGGGCAATCAGGAAGCCGGCTCCATGTTCCCCTACGTTACTGCCGGTCAGAGGAAATATTCCTCTCACCAGAAGTTCCGGTATGAGGGAAAGTATCGGAGCATTTGGGCAAGTACGAGTACTCGCCCCAAATACTCGGTATCGGCACCGATACTAGTATCGGTGCATCCCTACTATTTACTATCAGTTGGCCCTGAAAAAGTCAATAATGCGGTGGCGGCGCAAAAGCAGAATTACATCATCCTTCAGTCATTGTAAAGCATTCTGTGCATGACTGACTCATTCAAGGTCCAAATGTTAATATAATAGTGTGTAATCAGCTACGTACACACTACGGCAGGGTCTATTATGCTGTATGCATGTAAATGTTAGCATGAATGTTTATATGTGCACAACATAACCTACGATCAAACGCAGGAATGTGAACACACATTTTTCTACTTTTGGTTTATGCGGCCAAATTCTTACATTATAGCATACAATACTGCTGCATTTAAATTGGTACAAATCATAGAACTGAACACAGCAGATTGTATGCCTGTGTGCATTAACCCTTAAATCTAAAAATGTGTTGTATGCTTTATTTTGCTTTTTAGGTATTACATAATGATAACATTTGGAAGGGCTAACTCATTTGTGCAACATGTATGTTAGACATTTATAGTAAATCTGTTTATTGCATTTGTGTTGCTGTTCTACAGAAGAGAAATGCGTGCATTTGGTGTAAAGGTTTCTATCATAGAGCCAGGAGCTTTTAGAACACCGATAACTGCTTGGGAGTCTCATAAAAATCACCTAATCCAACTATGGGAAAAACTTCCAGGACATATTAAGGAGGACTATGGAGAGAATTACTGCAAGCAAAGTAAGTATAAGTAGGACCCCTTCACACCAGGGTCATCCATTGTGGTGCATTTAAAACTTGTGGTACATTTAACACATGTTACTTAAAGGCAAACCATGCTGGTTACTTTTGAGCATTAAAATGTTTTGAAAATGAGATGAGGTCAGTGCAGAGCTTGTCAATCAATGCAGCAAACCAGCTACATATTTATCTTAGTGATGGATATTCTGCCAGGCAGGCATCTTTATTAAAACCTCAATGCAGTAATAATGAAACTGTAGTTTTTTTTAGTCAATATGTTTTTTTATTATTATTATCAAGTTTATTTTTAGCACAACGGCTTCTAGAGAACCTTCAGAGACCATAGTTTACACAGCTCACCACCTGCTTCCTGCAAGTGGTAGATATTAAATGTTTACCTTGCTGTATCATCTGACCAATTCACTTACCTGTGAGTATTGCTGTTTATGCAGTGAAGGCAGCATGTGTTTTGCAGAATTTTGTCAAGCAGAGGAATAGGTACCTCTTTGTGGACTTCCTAGGGTATTCATTGTAGAGGGCCCAATGGTCTGCAATATGAGGGAGCAGAAGCGGTGCAACAAACTGTGACAAGCTTGCTGAGTATTTTATGTCACCTGTTACCCTGGCAAATGGGAAACATAGCATTTCTTTGATTATTATTGGTTTAAGGAATTATTTTTGAGGAAAAATATATTCTGCCAAAAAGAAGGGGTGTGTTAAGTAATTGCTTAAATAGACTGGGCCTCATTGCAGACATATACATCGCCAAATTGCTGTATACAATGTTATGTAATGCTAGAGAAGACTGTCTGCTTCTACAGAAAATGAGGGCCCTGACTTTGGATATGCTACAAGTTAGAGGGGGACTGGAGATATGCTGCAGATTATAGTGGAAGACCAGGGGAATTTTATATGAGGCTAGCAGGGATTACTGCTATTACCCCTTAAATATACTCCCAATAGAGACTACTGGGGACCAAGGTCCCAAGAACAAACAACATAACACATAACATTACAGCAAACTAAATCCATCTGTCTATTCACTCACATTAGACACAAAACTATTTCAGAAACAAAAAAAAGCACAAGCTACAATTTCTTAGCATACAAAATACCTTTTCTATTTGTCATAGAGCTAGTCAGGGTGAAAATTAATTGGCAATGTGTTCCCAGGTCTGACTCCTCTTATGGTCCTTGTAAAACTTGTGTACTGGATTGAAGAAGAAGGTGGGACAGGCTCTGCACCTTCCTGACCAACATCTCAATGTCCAGCACGGTGTATACATGAGATTGTATACAGCCACAATCTCATGACACACAGCAGGTTGCCAAAGGCGGGCTTTTCTTCCTATGCACTGGCAACCCATTAAATTGTTCCCAATATAATGCAATGACATGCATTGACATACACCTTTATGGTCTTTGTGACGCAACCCAACATAAATAAAACAGACATGAAGTCAATGCCGCAATGCCCCATGTGGATGATTTCATGTGATTTCATGTAGAAACAGCCACTTTTTACAAATATGGTGATTCACAACACATGCGTTGTAGTTCATTATGGCGCACGTGCTACAATGCAACAGTGTGAATGGGCCATTACTGTCTACCTATAACATCCAAGTATTCACTTAACATCTTGGGTTCAAATCACCAATTATAACTTGGGATTATTTCCCATTATGACCTTTTTTGACCAACAACCAATGAGACCTGAAAAAAGTTACATGGAAAACTAACATTATGGCAAACAATCACATCATAGTGAAGTGAGCATAAATATGTGTAATAAATGCTAATACACTAATAAAATGTACTGCTGCAATCATTGCTATCATTACAGGTATCAGTGCTTTAGAAGGATTACTACAAACAACAAATCCAAGGCTATATGAAGTCTCTAACTGTATGGAGCATGCCCTGACTGCTGTTCACCCCTGGACCAGATACTCACCTGGCTTGGACTCCAAACTGTACTTTCTCCCAGTATCTTACCTCCCTACTGCCATCTCTGACTATTTGATTTGTCGGTCTGCTCCCAAACCTGCTCAATGTATATCAGCTGCTGAAAAACACTAGGATCATTGAGTCACTCTTTGAAGAATTGGTCTTAATGCAAAATGCATCCAACAAGAACAAGCTCTTCACTGTGTTATCCAATAAAGAAAAAGCTTGTACTTTTTGTTTAGTCTTCTATTATTTTACACACCAGGGGGGTTACTACCCAGGGCAAAATGAGAAAAGTATTTACGTGGTGGGCCTAGCATGTCATGGTTATTGGTGTCCCACACTTACCTGAATCGTGGGGTACTTCCCCCTGCAGCCTTGGAACGGCAATGTGAGGTGTCCGACCTGCACAGCTGTGTCATCCATTCAGAGATCCATTCCACCACAGCTGAGGCACTCACAGTTCACAGTGAAGTACTGTGACATACAAGATAAGAAAAGCAGTGTGTCGCTTCAGGTTAATCCATGCTTGCCGGCTATAGCCAGGTGCTTTCCCAGCTCGTTTGCTAACAGCCACTATAGAAGAAAATTGAATGGCCACGCATCAGCTAGGTCCGAACCTTTTCTTTTTTCCTTCTTAAGAGCATTGCACAAGCAACAAACTGACACCTCTGGTGGGTTTCACACACACAGGTGCCTAGTCATAGCATTACTCCATGTGCGGATGGTAACACAGCTACCATAAGGGATACTGAGCTGGAAACTGTTACATTGGGGACAGTCAAAGAGTTAAACAGATAAATGGCAAGTCTAAGCCTGTTTATTACTGTAGGAAGCAGTCATCCAGTTCAGGAAAGCAAGGGTGTTGGCAAGCAAGAGGGATTTCCTTGTGATCCTCAGAACTGGGCTATGTGGACTACAGATTAAACTTCAGCATTTTATACTGATCATATGAAAGTTAAAAAAAATGCTCCAATGAAATCCACATGTCAATAGTTGACATCCTAAGATATAGACAGCTAAAACTATACATACATTTTAACATTTTTGTTCCCCCTACCACCGTGACTAGCCTCTGTTTGCTCAGTGAGGACACTGAAGGACAGGTAGACAGGACTGGAAGGGGCCTAGTGAAACATTTACAGAAAATCTGAAATTTGGTTACAACTTTGGCTGTCTGTATCTCTGAATTTGCCATTTTTACTGGATATTTCTTCTTATATATTGTTTCAACTTGACCTATTGACATAAAAATTGAGATACTTTATATTTTAGATCAAGGGTATAGCCATACGTGACCTAGCTGAAAAACTATTAAGAAGGAACTTTACTCATATCTTCAAAATAACAACAAAGAAGTCTTTAGAAATGACTAAGTGACTGGGACATGCGACTAGGACATGTGACCATGCACATCATCTTAGGGGAGGAAAATGCCTTGACTGACTGCAAGGCTAAGTAACCCTCACTTCCCACCTAAATAACACACTGAACACAGTAATTTCAACAAAAACGTAATGTAATAACATTTATTGGAAGGTTGAATGGCCACAGCGATGTAAACATTTAAAATAATAGCAGAACATATTATGTATCCAGAACAAAATGCTTCGGTCCCTGACGAGTGCCAAAAAACACCACTCACCGCTTACGGTGGGTGTACCATGACCCATTTTTTACTGTACCAGCCACCGGCCGCCCATATTCTGGCCCGAGTGGGTACGCCCACCAACAGTTGCCCAAGTTCCTACTGGCTACCAAGCTATAGAGCCCAGTAGCCCCACCATTGGCACTTCCCTAGTACTCTGCCCCTTTTCACTTTGCGGAGAGCCAGTTCTTTGTTGTCGATGTATGGCACCACCAGGGACCCGCCCAATGGACGACCAACCTAGAAGAAAATGAAGTCAGACATATTTCCCAAAACACACATTCCACCTTAAACGCAGAACATGAATACCCATAACGCTAACTAGAAAAAATTGTATCCCTCCCCCCCAAATTCCACACTAGCGGAAACTATCTCTTATGAAACATAAAAAACAACAAGCTGAAATACTATCGGGGAGGGTGGGTGGGAGCCGCCTATTGCACCGCAGTGAACTTTCTGTGAGATCTTGTGAGATTACAGATAAGATTTCCAGGAATGCTCTGCTGATGAAACCTTATCAGGATGCAACGCTTAGACACGATTACATCACTTTTGCCAAAGAGAACCAGGAAGTAGAAAACAAGAAATTGTAAGTAAAAGAAAAATATGTTTGTTTAACTAATGAATGTAAGATGATTTCAAAAAAGCTTGCGTGCTGCTGTGATTTTTAGTCAAAGGTGGTAAAAGCCCTCCTAGTTCTTATTTTGTGACTACAGAATAATTAGCCTTTATGTTGTGGATATGGGAAAGTAGGTTGGTTTGAGTAGTGTGTCCAGAGAAAAATGGACAGGGTTAACAACACTCAGTCCGCAAAAGGAGTGCATTTCTGACAGATTAACAGGGTTTTTTCTGTACTTGCAGGGCCCTTAAATAGATACACCAGGAGCAAATGTGCAGAGAAGTACAACATATGTTTTCATATATACAGTATATATTATAGATATTGTAGAGGACGGCAAAGCTGGGTCCTGGATGGGAGATATACAGTATATCACCACTGTTTGGGTTGTGTCCCTATAAGGGCCTCCACAGGGTTACCCTTCCTGCCCCAGGAAGGGGTTTAAAGGTCTGCAACTCCCTGAGAGGAGTGTGGGAGTTGAGGAGAAAGTAATCAGCTTTTTTTTTTTTTTATCGAAGCCCGTGGACGTGCATCTAAACAAACTTCCCCCTGTGAACAAAAAAAGTGAACCGTGAAATCACAGCACACAAAAACGTGCACAAGGGTGCAAGGTCCTTCAATAAAGAAGGGACCTACTTCCCGACACTCCTGGGTGCAAGGCTCCTGACAGGCGTTGAGACTGTTGGCCCACCAACCCGAAGGCCGGTGGACCCCGATCCTTTGGGGACCTGCCGAAACAGGTCCCTCACAGTACTAGGCAGGGGGGATCTCCCGAAGAGAAACCCCCCTCCTGGGTGGGAGGAGACAGAGAACCCTATATAAGGGCACAGAATCTCCTCCCAGCATCAGGAATAGGCCCCGAAGAACAAAAAGGAGGGTAACAGTGTTTTACAAGAGAGAACACTGTAAAAAGAGGTTATTAAATTAACCGAGACCTATAGTTTTATAAAAATATAAACTTTATTGAATACAAAATAATATTTTCGGTGTCTGTTAGCTCACTTCTCAAATTACTAGTAAAAGAACAACGTTGTTCATGACACTCATACTCCCATTCATTCATACAAACTAAGTGTTCCCAATGAGTAGAAACAGGTGTAAAATCAAGGATACCCCTGTTTTAGGAAACTGTTAAGAAATCAAACACTGCCAAGTTTGTGGGAACACTTAGTTTGTATGAATGAATGGGAGTATGAGTGTCATGAACAACGTTGTTCTTTTACTAGTAATTTGAGAAGTGAGCTAACAGACACCGAAAATATTATTTTGTATTCAATAAAGTTTATATTTTTATAAAACTATAGGTCTCGGTCAATTTAATAACCTCTTTTTACAGTGTTCTCTCTGGTAAAACACTGTTACCCTCCTTTTTGTCCTGATTATTCTTGGTTATATGACCTTGATGACCTATTTAAATGATTAATTAAAACATTAAAGGGGATATTCAAGGTATATCAGAACTCCAGGGAACAACCTCCTTTTTCCCGAAGAAACCTGCACCTTCAGCATCTGTGGGTCAAATTTAAAAATAAAAAAGTGCCAAACGTGCATAGAGTGCATAAATAAAGCTAAAGTGCCAGTGCACCATGCTGACAGGCCTTAGGGGCCGGAGTGCAAAAGTATTTCCCCGGACTAGCCATAAGGCCTGTCCAAGGGGCATTGTGCATAAAATAGCAATATGGTGTGTGACCGAGTGCTACAGTGAGTCATGTGGGGTCCCATACCCAAGTGACTTTCTGAGCACCCCTGGGACGCCACCCCCAGGGGGCACAACACCACGGGCTTCTGCCGCCCCCAAACCTCCAGCCAGAGCAATCTTTGCATCTGTTCAGTCAGAAAGCCATGTACTGAGCTGTTCCCCTCTCACAGGAAGCAGCCCCACACGCTCTTTCACTTCAGTGAGTACTAAGTAACCATCCCCCGCAAGGACGGTTCTTTTCCCCACCGAAAACTGATAAGAACAGATACTACACTTGATCTTAGCCAAAAGGCAGAGGAGAAAGTAATCAGCTGTTGCTAGTGAGAGAGACCTGCTGGATTGCTGTGCGACTTATATTCCTTGGAAGGGATTTCCCCAGGTTCAGGGCGTTTCTACAACAAGTCGGTGAGACACATTTATGTTTTGTTATCTGTGCCGAAGAATTGGACTTTTACTTTGAGTTTGCTTAAGATAAAGCGTGTATTTGTGTTTACCGGTTTTGGCTGCCCTGAGGAAAATGAAAGACGTTTTTGTTTTATTCAAAACCCTCTGTGCGAGTGCTCTGTGAGCTCCCAACATCACAATATATATATATATATATATATATATATTACATTGACATACACTTTAACCACTTGCCGTCCGCCCGTTAAAAAAACGGACGGACGGCACTGCAGCATTGGTGGGTTGCCGTCTCCAGACGGCATTTTTTTTCTGCTCGCGTGCGCCCCCTAGCGGGCACGCAGGGCAGAAAAGACCCGACCAAAACTCCCCCACCCCCACGTTTACGCAGATATAAACGTAAATACGCGTCCGGTGCACCAGCGTGCAAAAACGACAATTGCGCTACACACGTTACATATCGGCACGAACGTCGCAGTGAGAGCAATCATTTTAGGGCCATCAATCACTGATAACACTAAACTGATGAGCGGTAAAAGCTTTTAAAGCGTCGCCTATGGCCAATTTTGGGTATTATCGTTCTTTGAGGTTTCGCGCGCGCGCACGCAATTTTAAGACTTGACATGTTTGGTGTCTTTTTACCCGACATGACCCCGTCTTTTATATTTTACCAAAAAATTGGGTAATAATAAATGTTTTATCATTTAATATAGGGGAAATCATTTTTTAAAAAAAATTTTGGTAATTTTTCCTTAATATAGTAAAAAATAAAAACCCCAGTGGTGATTAAATGCCACCAAA